ACTGTTGACACAAAGATATGTCTCGCCTGTCGGCATAAAATTCAGAAAAAGACAATCTGATGGACAGCAACATTGCTGATTAATTCAAAGTCAATGGACCAACTTGTGGGTAGGGCTTAGAAATGGTTGACAAACTGAGATGTACAGACAGCAATGTAGCTTTATAGAAAATATTGTCTATTGTAAGTAGTTCATGTAAAACTAACTTAATCAGAAAACTTAATATTGAGAATTGTTAATTGATTGAAAGACATAGGATAATGACCTAGGGGGCAGGGCCTTAAAATAGTCATCAAACTGATATGTACTGATAGTAATGCAACTTTATACTCAGAAAACTTATCATTGAAAATTGCTAATTAATTCAAAGTCATTGAACCATGGCCTAGGAACAGGGCCTCAAAAAAGTCGTCAAATTGTACATGATAGCAATACAACTTCACATAAAATATCATTGTTCTATCACCAGTAGTTACTATCAATCTAACTTAAGCAGAAAACTTACAGCTGATTTCATTGAGTGTGTAGGCAAAGGTAATATCTTTGGTTAGCTTGCTTGTTAGCTGAACCGTGAAGTCATTATTAGGTCAGGTATACTACTCTCCTTTAGAAGTAGACCAGTCCAACAGACAGATAGATTGGTTATCTGTCAGACTAGTCTACTCTTAAAGGAGGGTAGTTTACCTAACCTAATAATGACTTCACGGTTCAGCTAGCAAGCAAGCTAACAAATGATATTACCTTTGCCTACACACTCAATGAAATCGGCTGTAACATTTGAAATTGCTTATTAATTCAAAGTCACTGGACCATGTCCTAGGGGGCAGGGCCTCAAAATTGTCGTCAAACTGATATGTACTGATAGTAATGCAATTTCATACAAAATATCATTGATCAAAGTCACTGGACCATGGCCTAGGGGGCAGGGCCTCAAAATAGTCGTCAAACTGATATGTACTGATAATAATGCAACTTCATACAAAATATCATTGATGTATCACAAGTAGTTCCTTATCAATCTAACTTCAGCAGAAAACTTAACATTTAAAATTGCTAATTAATTCAAAGTCACTGGACTATGGCCTAGAAGACAGGACCTCAAAATTATCATCAAACTGATATGTACGGATAGCAGGGTTTTCGCTGGCGTTTTGCGAAAAAAAATAAAAATTGTGGCTATTAAAATTCGTTATTGGCGAAAGAATTTGGCTGTGGAAATATAATGGTCTCACTTCGTCCATCTTGTTTACCTTTTTGGGGTTTCTCTGACTTTTTCCCTGATCAGGCAATACTGGGAATTCACCTTGAACTTGTTACAATTTTGATGAAAATCAATAATCAGCTGATTGCATTTTATAGCTATAGGCAACAATGGATTATAAATACAAAATGTGTTGATTGCATTGTTTAAGGAAATGGTGTGGTTAGATAGCGTCACATGTCACTTAAAGAATTTTTCTACAACTTTAATTGAAATAATTATTTTGAAGTTGGTACTTCACAATTGTTTTAGCGACACACGTGTTTAAAGCATAGTTTTACGTCTCCTCATTTTCTTTTAACTATGGTTTGGAATAGAAAACTGTTGTTATGATGAAAAATGTTCAAAAGTAAGAAAAATCTCTGACTTTAAATTTTATCCACAACTTTCATAGACATAATTGTTTTGAAGTGGGTAATTTGTAATTGTTTTAGCGATGCACATGTTTTAATAAGGCACAGTTTTTCGTTCAAACTTTTTCTTTTAACCATGGTCCAGAAAAAAAAACTATTGTTAAGTAGAAAATTATTCAAAAGCGAGAAAAAATCTCTGACTTCAGTCTTTATCCTTCAACTAGACAGGAAGTAGCCGATAAACTTATTGTAGATGAATAACATGTTCCCCGGCAGAAGTAAAAAATAATGGTTTCATGACCTATATTGCAATTTTACAGTATCTTTTGAAAAAGTAAATTTTTGTTATTATTGAGTGTTTATTCATTACAATTTAAATTAAAAAATTTATATTTCAATAACACTTTTAAATGTTCATTTGATCATTTTGTTTTGATCAGTTTTGATCTATTGGGATTCTTTCATGCAATCTGCTATCATTATATGTAAGGCAAATGGAGATTTCTATATAACTTTTAAAAATACAAGAGAACAAAAACAATATTTCAAACAAAATGAAAACAAACACTGAACAGGTTCTTTTTAAATTGAAATTGTTTTTTGTCTTAAAAGTACATCAGCTAAAATATGGTGTCTTAAAAGTACATCAGCTAAATATGGAACTATATTACAAGAGAAATCAAAAGTAGATCAGTGCACTTTTAAGCATAAGTTAAAAAATTCATTGTAAATTAATGAAATGGACATCCTTATCTAAGTAACAAAATTTGTTTGATAGTAAAGTAAAATATATTTTTTTTTATCTTTTATTACAATGTACTTTATATAAATGCCATGCTGACAAGGTAAAATACTAAGTTTCAGATTAGAACTTTTTTACCTTTTATTTCAATGTGCTATACATGACAAGCTGACACTTCATTACAGCATATGTGAGACATTTAGAAAACCTTGATCTCCTTACTAATACTGTAAACCAATATATTTGTCAGAAATTTACTATTATTAATGCACTTTACATGAGTAGAAAAACACACACAATCATGTCAAACTACTTTCATATAAAAACATCAATATTCAACTTAGTATGGAAATTGCTAAACTAAATCCTAGAAAAGTCCAAATGTGAAAAAAAAATCTGCAAAAACAAGTTAGTTACATATATATGGTTACTGTATCTTGTAAATGATTGAACATATTCCACTAATAAGTACATAAATTTGATTTTTCGGGTCATAGAATGACAACTTAAAAGTCAAGTTACAGTAAGTGGGCTATGCCACAGATTTTTGTTTTACTAAAATTTTGCATACAACTCTGGCTTGTTGAACTTTAATTGAAAATGGAAAAAACAAGTGAAACTGTGAGCTACTGCTCACTGATGATACCCCCCCGCCCAAATACTTGACGTTAAACAGGAAGTTGTTTAATGATGAATCTGAAAACACATCACACGGTATAGCTGACTTATATAAACTCTGAAACCAAATTTCAAAAATCCATGTAATGTTGTTCCTGAGAAAAATGTGACAAAAATTTTCAACTTAGATGTCATGTGAAAAATAATGTAAGTGTTGGGTTAACAGGAAGTTGTTGAGTGTTGAATGTGAAAACGCATCACACAGTATAACTGACTTATATAAACCTTGAAACCAAATTTCAGAAATCCTTGAAATGTAGTTCCTGAGAAAGATGCAACAAAAAATATTCATGGGACGGATGGACTGACGGATGGATGGACAGACGGACGGATAGAGGTAAAACAGTACACCCCCGCTTGAAAGCGGGGGTATAATAATGCATTTATCTCTTTTATCATCTGAAATACTACTGTCAGACTGAATTCTTTCAAAAAAGGTGAACATTTGTATAGAAAGCATATAAAATTGGCAAATTTTTTTTTTATATATGTCTTAAAATCATCAAATCTATAATTTCTAATACATAGATTTATCTTAAAAAGCTATATGTTGTTGATACATCAATTTCCTTTTAAATGATGTGAAATAATGATAGGGTCAACGACTTCGTTTTTACAGTATACATCATTGAAAGTGGTGTTCTATGTGGAAAAAATACCAAAAAAACGTTGAAATAATCATAACGCATTGCAGGTTGTAAAATGTTAATTTTTTACATTTTTCACTACCAACTAGGTAACAGATTGATTATTAGTAGGGATGTCAACTCGGTAAAGATTTACTAATTGAGTACTCGTTGGATTTACCTAGCGATACTCGAGTACTCGCTCGGTAAAACATTTACAAAATGGAAACACAAAATTATACCCATTTTAATATATATATGTATTGTGGGTCGTTGTTTTATGAACGTAAAACCCTCGACAATATTACCTAGATAATAGTCCAAGGAATTTTATACCACAATTAATAGCTCATTAGATTTACTTCATGTACTAATTATGTAAACAGGCAATAATCTAATCAAGTAATTAATCAATATCTATAGAAAAATTATTACTCAAACAACAGTATTTGGGAACCTTAAAAAAACACAATTACTGATCAACAAAGGGGTGATGATTAGAACTTACTGATGCCTTTAATCATTTTCTGAGGGTCGACACAGGCTGCAACGAATTTGTTCTTATTTAAAAATATTATTTATGTCAACATTTTCTTGGACGAGGCGATTTCTCAACTTTGTTAGGTAACTAACAGTCCTGCTGATCAAAATATATGCTCTGATGGTACAGAGGTGGTTGGATAACTAAGACACGATTAGCCTAAAGTGTAAGCCTTGGAAAGATGCTCTTGTTCATAACCTACCTATGTTTGGAGAGATTTTAAATGACAGTTAAACTAAACATTAGAATCGTATTTTAATTTTTATTTATTGTGATTAAAGTTTAATTTCCCGGGAGGCGCTCTCAATAAAAATAGTTTTTGTTTTAGCTTAAGAAAGCAACAACATACAAACAGGAAACCGATTAATCGAGTATCATTTTGGTAATCAATACTCGGTACCACCGAGCGATACTCGAGTACTCGAGGACTCGTTGACATCCCTAATTATTAGACAAAAAACATAGTCGGTGACCAGATGATTATTTTATATCATTAAAACGGAAATTGATGTATCAACAGCATGTACTTTTTAAGAAAAATCTATGTACCGGTATTAGAAATTAGAGATTTGATGATTTAAAGACAACTTTAAGAAGGTTTTTCTCAGATTTTATGTGCTTTCTATACAAATGCTAACTTATTTTGAAAGAATTCAATCAGTAATATTTCAGATAATAAAAGTGATCAATGCATTATGTTTTCGATTTTCAGTTACAGTTCAACGAGACAAGGTTGTATGCAAAATTTTAGCAAAAACTGTGACATAGCCCATATACTGTTCCTTGACATTTTGATTACCTGACAACCAGCCTTTTCTGCGATGCCTTTGACTTTCCAGAAAAATTCCCCTACTTTGTCATCTTTTAACTGAAGCATGTATCTGTTAAAATAATAGAAAGCTTACTATACAATCAACATTTTTTTAAGACAATTGAAAAAAAATTCAATATTGTATATTTTTCCAAGGTAAAGTACATGTAATATATTTATATAATTAGTCACAAAAAAAAACCTACACACATGCTGTGACATACAAAACTGAAAATCGGAATTGGAGAAAATTATAGTAAGTACTGTTTAAGATTGACAACACTTGTTAAATTTTATTCAAATGGAAAGCTATATGCAGATAAATGTAGAGAGGAGGGTGACTAGGGGATGCTCATTTCCAAAATCATGTTTAATTTTGTAATTTTTTCCAACTTCCCAATTTTTTTCCCCCAGATCCCACTTTTTTTTACCCCATATGTCCCACATCCTAAAAGTGTGTCATCTCCCTCATGAAGAGGGCTTCATTCTGGCATGTAGACCTGCCAGGTTCATATGTATCTCTTTTTCACACTAGTGTGTTTATTCCCTGGGAAATGAAATCCCACTAACAATATGTCTTGGAATTTTTAAACTAGTGTATTTTAACCATAATGAAATAGTATACTAAATGATACCACAAAATGATTTACTGTTTCACTTACAACTTTACATAGCATTTGACTTACTATTGTAGCAGCTTCAAAATATATTGGTGTCAAGTTACTTACCGTGCTGATTCAGCAATTATTGTAGCAGCTTCAGCATATATTGGTGTCAAGCAGGGCTTCCAAAATTATTTTTAGCCAGCCGGTCATTTTATATATTATCCCGATTTTAATCCCTTAAGACTAAATAAATAAAAGGCAATTATGGTAATCAGTTGCCGAGTTGGCCATCCCAATGATTGACATTAAAAAAAAAAGGATATTAAACTTTCTTTGATTCAAATTCGAAGCTCTGATGTAAACTGTTAAATTGGCAGTGCATCATTCGAAGTGTGCAACATCAGTCTACTTATATCTGCTTAGACTCTTTATTTGTACAAAATAACGTTGTCAAAAACTTTACTTTCGTTTTTAAATCTAAACCGGATGTTATCTTGACAATGGTAAAACATGGACCAGAGACGGATACGAAAATTCCGTGTATGTTTGCAAAGCATGAATGAGTGTAAGTAAACTGGTCCACCGTTCCATCTATAGCTTCGCACCGAAGGAATGGGTTGGAGCCATTGTCACATTGGCATTAATTGGATGAGTCTTACAAATTCAACGATTCGCTCATAAAATAGACCAATTATAGTGATAGGAAATTGACCTCAATTGTTAATACTGCGATGCCGCAAAATAAACAAGTATCTGTTAATTAACCCCATGGTGGTAGCGCAGATAAATGACAAACGAGCGTGTTATCATGTTTTTGACAAAATGAGCCGTTATCTTTCATTCCCTTAAGAACTCAGTAGGGTTATAAATGTGCTAATTTTTCGTTTGATTTCCTATCAGTATAATACATAATAAACATAGCACATGATGCACTAGTCTCGTCAAATTATTAAATCCCGTGGTCAGAATTCTGACCACGGGATTTAGGCCATACCTGTTGTCAGTGTAGCGATATGTGAACACAACAGGGGTCCAGTTTAGAGTGTAAGTAGCTTTTTCTACGTTATTTCTTCAAGAAAATATTCGAAATAAACGTGAGATAAAGGTATCAATGACAATTTAAGCATTTTTTGAAGAAATTAGGATGCATAATTAAATTTCACACCTGCGCACATGCGCACACGTGTACTAGTTCAAACAGAGACATGTCTCTGGTTCAAACAACGTGGTTATGACGATTTTTCATTTTCACCTTTTTAATTTTTTCATCAAATCATATTTGTAAACGTATTTCTGATAATTTAAATCTTTTTAACTAAATTTATTAGATGCAAACCACTGAAATGTAAGAAAATAACTTTGAATAGACTGATCAATGTCCGGTTCAAAATAGTTTACCTGTCACCTGAACAGGTAAATTTCAGCTGTTCGACAACTAATTAGCCTTGATTAAAATGAGAAGGTATTACAGTAGGGGTTGTTTTGATAGTACTTAATGATCATGCCACTTTTATGACCGGAAATGTGTGGCTGTTTAAGGCAAAAGGTTGGGTCAAAAAGATTGCGAATTATGTTAAAATGACCGTCTCTTAAGCCTTGAAAACTAAAAAGTAGATGTCTGTTTCATGCTTTGCCTAGCCGGACTTTTACCGGACATTATACAAATGTCTGGAATATATGATCGTTTTGGAAGCCTTGGTGTCAAGTTACTTACCGTGCTGATTCAGCAATTATTGTAGCAGCATCAGCATATATTGGTGTCAAGTCACTTACCGTGCTGATTCAGCAATTATTGTAGCAGCATCAGCTTATATTGGTGGCAAGTCACTTACCATGCTGATTCAGCAATTATTGTAGCAGCTTCAGCATATATTGGTTTCAAGTCACTTACCGTGCTGATTCAGCAATTATTGTAGCAGCTTCAGCATATATTGATGTCAAGTCACTTACCGTGCTGATTTAGCAATTATTGTAGCACTTTCAGCATATATTGGTGTCAAGTTACTTTTCGTGCTGATTCAGCAATTATTGCAGCAGCATCATTATATATTGGTGTCAAGTCACTTACCGTGCTGATTCAGCAATTATTGTAGCACTTTCAGCATATATTGGTGTCAAGTCACTTACCGTGCTGATTCAGCAATTATTGTAGCAGCATCAGCTTATATTGGTGGCAAGTCACTTACCATGCTGATTCAGCAATTATTGTAGCAGCTTCAGCATATATTGGTTTCAAGTCACTTACCGTGCTGATTCAGCAATTATTGTAGCAGCTTCAGCATATATTGATGTCAAGTCACTTACCGTGCTGATTTAGCAATTATTGTAGCACTTTCAGCATATATTGGTGTCAAGTTACTTTTCGTGCTGATTCAGCAATTATTGCAGCAGCATCATTATATATTGGTGTCAAGTCACTTACCGTGCTGATTCAGCAATTATCGTTGCAGTATCAGCATATATTGGTGTCAAGTTACTTACCGTGCTGATTCAGCAATTATTGTAGCAGCATCAGCTTATATTGGTGGCAAGTCACTTACCATGCTGATTCAGCAATTATTGTAGCAGCTTCAGCATATATTGGTTTCAAGTCACTTACCGTGCTGATTCAGCAATTATTGTAGCAGCTTCAGCATATATTGGTGTCAAGTCACTTACCGTGCTGATTTAGCAGTTATTGTAGCACTTTCAGCATATATTGGTGTCAAGTTACTTTTCGTGCTGATTCAGTAATTATTGCAGGAGAATCATTATATATTGGTGTCAAGTCACTTACCGTGCTGATTCAGCAATTATCGTAGCAGTATCAGCATATATTGGTGTCAAGTCACTGGTGAGCAGATGAACCAAACTGAAAATTAAAAAGAAAGTACTAGTCACTTTTTTTAAGGAAGGGTATGGGTAATATATTTTATGGTCCTATAAATAATATGGGGACACTAAAAAATCAAAGATTCTATGGAAGAGACAGTTTATTTGAAATAAATTTACTACCAAATCATCACTAGAAAACGTTTGGTTTGCTTTAAACAAGCAGTTTCAACAAAAAATTTACTGAAAATTTGTATAAAATAAAAGTAATAATTTATTATTCATGAATCTAAGAAATGTACGTTTATGGTAAGACATACCAAACCTCAGGAAGATATGATGAGTCTCTGATGCAAATTGCCTCTGGACATAATCCCCCCTCTCAATCCCCCATCAGATTGAAATAAAAAAAAATGCTTATAAACAACCTTTCATACATAATTCCTGCCAAAATTGATTTCATTTGACAGCAAAGTTTCACAGCAGAATATTATAATTATAACACAGATTGATGACTAACCTGACTTGATTACTATCAATTGCAACAGAGGACACTGACCGATAGATGGTGCAGAATCATTCGAGTTAATTGATGACAAACAGAAGGACCAAATTAAAATCAACAGGAAGTCATGACTATGAACAGATATATCATGGCTCAGGTAAGTTTACCTTCTCTCAACTGGTAATTTTGGCAAATAACCCTTTTGAATATGACATAACTGTTTAATCGGCAATAGGAATGGTTAGTTTAAACATTCAAATAAATTTCATTTTTCTATCATTTTAGCAAAAACAGATGCACTTAATAATAAAGCTATCAACTATCTGATACTGTGGATTCATTAATATTCTTTGGATACCAATTTTCGTGGATTTCGTGGGTACAGGGGAACCACGAATTTAAATGTTCAACGAAGTACAAATTTTCTAAAGGAATGTATGCAGACTTGGCCAAAACCACGAAAATTGGTACCCACAAAAATAAATGAATCCACAGTCATTAAAATCTTGAATTTTTATATAAGATGTAAATGACCCGTTCAACCAGGTCAGCCATAAAACACAGGTAATAATGTAAGATCAATGCCAAGTTCAAAGCTGAGAAGCTTACATAAAGTTAATTAAATACTGATATATGATGAAAATCATGCCTGTTCAATAAACAAATATATCAAATGTCTCTCATTTCATTGACATATGCTTGGAGACAATAAGTCTTATATAAATAATAATGATAAGGTTTCGTATTAACAATTACTGTGATAAAGATATTCTATGATTACATATCAAATACCAATTCAATATCTGTAACGAGGGCAACCAAAAAAAAAACATTATTTTAGATGATAAGTGCCAATTTTCAAGAAATTTTAGGTGTCCAAATTCAAAAGGCCATGGTTAATGTATTTACATTTGTATGAAAATTTGTCAGCCATTATATATTAAAGGGGCATTAGCTGTCAAATTCATTTTCACCGATTTGACTAAAATTCTCATATTTGATTTAAAACATAAAAACGTATATCCAAATTATAAAAAGACTAAAATAAACAATTAACAATCCATGGACTCGATAATATGTATCAGCATTTCGTGTGTATATTTGTCTAGACGTCATTTAATCAACCACCGAGATGACCTCTAAAGACTGCCAACAGTCTTATAAACCAATATAAACATAAATGTAAGTATAAATAAATAGCGACCACATGCAATTGGATTTTCTAGGTCTGTTTGATTTCATATTGTAGGTTTAAAAGTATGTTTATCTTCGTTTTTACCGGTATAAGAATGATACTTTTGTGGATCGAATCATTCAACCAAATGGTACATCCTTGTTTCACTTTCAATGTTGGCATTCTTTTTTCTTTTAATAGCTAAATACATGTGTTACCCATCTCAGCTAAGGGGTTAAATGGAAGGTCACATGAATACATATTCAATTAGGCCAAATTATTCACTTGCAAGTGAATAATTCATCAGCAATGTTTCTTAGCTTAATTTGACAAAAATAAAGCCAAACTGGCTGCTAAACCTGAATTATTATTTCACTATTTCACTTTCATTATTGATTGACCATAAAAAATAATATTCTATTTTTATATATCTTGTAGTTGATGCCCCTTTCAAATCATCAAAAGTTCCCACAAAATATTACATATTTTAAAAAATTTGACGTCATAATTGAAAAGTGATTGTTGCATGACATCAGAAGGTTATTCGGAGACAAATCTAGAGTCATTCAGAGACAAAGTTCAGCCAAATACTCAAAAGTGTAAATACGTCTATAAAAAAGTGAGTCGACTGCAACAAAAGTCACTAGTCTATAAACAATTACTGTAAATTCAGAAATTATTGCATGCATTTATTATTGTGATTTTGGGAGAATGGACAATAATGCAAGATTAATTTTTGCAATTTCGGGAAAAGCTGCATACAGATATATGTACCAGATATCAGAATGCGAGTTTTTATTATTGTGATACTCACCCAGTTGCATTATTCGCATTAATAAAAATCCCTCACAATAGTTTCTGAATTTACAGTATATACATAAAAGAGTTGTTAAGAAAGTGTCTCAATGCTTCAATTCTTTATGTTAACTATTTCAAAGGTCAATCAACACTGAAACTGAGTGCTGTGTATGGTCTATTTTGTAATTAAAGGGTGCAAAATGGCATTCATTGATGGAACAAAGACAACATATACTTTTTATCTGTAATTTTTCACTTAAATAGCAAATATGTTACAATTCATAATTGCATACTAGAATTATTAAGGTCACAGCTAAAATCCAAATATCAAATTTTCTAATTTCATTTACATGTGCTATCAAGCTGTGACCATCCTAAAACAACTTGACTATCCCAGAACTAGCATATTTTTCTGGGAGTAAAGTCTTTATTTAGAAATCAAAATGTAAATTAGAGTCCCAATATACAGAAATGAGGTATTCCTGGCCATGGGGCTAACCCCTTAATCTAGAGGCTCTAAACACCCTGTGTCGCTCACCTGCATCTTCAACAATGGCCACTTTTAAAAAATATCACATTAAACGGGAATATTCAAAGTTTCTATCTATTTAGCATGGTTTTCAAGATAACAGGCATAAATGCAAAAAAATAATGTGAAAAATCGTCATTAAAGGGCAATAACTTTAAAAAGAAGTAGACTTACAATTTTGGTCACGTTGACTAATTTGTAGATCTTGTCTTACTGAACATTTTTGTTTATCTAAGATTCTATCTATCTATTATAGTTTTTCAGATATTAGGCAAAAATGCAAAAAATTGGTAAAAATCATCATTAAAGGACAATAACTCCAATAAGACGTCGTCAGACGATTTCAACAATGAAACTTATTAGTAGATCTTGTCCTGCTCATCATTTTGTTTATATGAGTTTCTATCTGTCGATATATAATAGTATTTCATATATTAAGCAAAAACGCAAAAAATTGATAAAATCGTCAATAAAGGGCAATAACTTCATAAGGAGTCGTCTGACGATTTCTACCATTTAACATATTTGTAGATCTTGTCTTGCTGATTAATTTTGCTGAATAAAATTTCTCTCTGTTTATTATAGTTTTCAAGATAATAGGCAAAAATGAAAACTCACTAAGAGGCTCTCAAGAGCCTGTGTCGCTCACCTGTATCTACTGTGGTTTTGGAAATCATGTAAAATAAGGTTAAAATCATAATAAATACTATTAGATACCCTAATAATGATTGAGGCCAAGTTTAGTTTAATTTTGCCCAGTAGTTAAATTCAAAGCAGAAGATTTTTCCAGGTCAATTGACAATTTTGGTCATGTTGATTTATCAGATTTATTTGTAGATCTTACTTTGCTGAACATTATTGCTGTTTACAGTTAATCTATAATAATATTCAATATAATAACCAAAAACTTCAAAATTTTCTTAAAATTACCAATTCAGGGGCAGCAACCCAACAACGGGTTGTCTGATTTGTCTGAAAATTTCAGGGCAGATAAATCTTGACCTGATGAACAATTTTACTATGTCAGATTTGCTCTAAATGCTTTGGTTTTTGAGATATAAGACAAAATCTACAATTTACCCCTATGTTCTATTTTTGGCCATGGCGACTATCTTGGTTGGTGGGCCGGGTCATCGAACACATTTTTTTAACAATATACCCTGACGATGATTGTGGCCAAGTTTGGTTAAATGTGGCCCAGTAGTTTCAGAGGAGAAGATTTTTGTAAAAGATAACAAAAATTTACAAAAAACTGTTAAAAATTGACTATAAAGGGCAATAACTCCTTAAGGGGTCAATTGACCATTTTGGTCATGCTAACTTATTTGTAGATCTAACTTTGCTTTATTTTATTGCTGTTTATAGTTTATCTCTATCTATAATAATATTGAAGATAATAACCAAAAACTGCAAAATTTTCTTAAAATTACCAATTAAGGGACAGCAACCCAACAACGGGTTGTCTGATTTGTCTGAAAATTTCAGGGCAGATAGATTTTGACCTGAAGAACAATTTTACCCTATGTCAGATTTGCCAAAGGGCCAGGTGATCTAAAAAAGATAAAATTTGTCTTTAAAGGGCAATAACTCCTATAAAAAATGGTCTAATGTAAATCAATAATAGGTAGATCTCATCATTCTGAATGTTTAAACCCCTTTCAGATTTTCTTTTGAAAGCATTTTTCAAGATAATAGACAAAACTTGCATTTTACCTCTATTTTCTATTTTTAGCCATGTCAACACATTTTTAAAACTAGATACCCTAATGATGATTGTGGCCAACTTTGGTTAAATTTGGCTTAGTAGTTTCAGAGGAGAAGATTTTTGTAAATGTTAACGACGACGAGGATGATGGATGACCACAGACTCCAAGTGAGAAAAGCTCACTTGGCCCTTTGGGACAGGTGAGTTAAAAAAAATGAAAAGGGTTCCCCTATCCTAGCTAACCAAAGAAGGTGATGCCAAAAAAAAAGATGATTTTTTTAAAAGTTATATTTAGACACTTCATCTACCCAAAGAAAATTTGGCGGGGGTTTCCCTGGCCCTTTTTATGAAAATTTAATTACTTTACCTCAAGAAATCTTTAAAAAAAAACACAACTAATTTTTCCAATCTATTTATAGCAGCTGTGACCTTGAACTTTGACCTTTTGGCCTGAAAATTAATTTGGCTTTTCCTCTGCCATATATCTTTTAGCTACATATTAGTTGCATTTCAAATAACAAAATGATTGTTACTTTTCTTGTTTAAAATGTTTATTTTGTTATTTGGGGGCCATTTATAGCTTGCTATGAATTTTGGGTTTTGCTTATTGTTGAAGGCTGTATGGTGACCTATATTTGCTAACTACAATGTCATTTGGTCAATAGTGGAGAATTGCCTCCTTCATTGGCGATAATACCACATCTTCTTATTTTCATAATACTCCAACTATCATTTGGAAAACAAAACAAAATCCTTAAATCTTGACCTTCTATGCCCAAAGTCAAAACGATTTTTTTCCTCCCTTATATCTGTATTTGTATCGGATTAAGAAAAATAAACTCAAAGTACCATCTTGAAAGTATTTGTTTCAGACTCATAGATTGACAAAGAATTCATTTTATTCAAGGAGCATAACAAAATTTCTGAATAACAGACACACCCATACCGTATAGCCGACTTCTTTTGTTCAGTATATAAAATCGTTATTAACACTGATGTATAATTTTTCACTGCGTAATTTTTAGTTTATATAATATGAATTCACAGGTGACTGATCACCATTATAATGATATTGGTTAACAGGTTAATATGCCAATTTGATTTATGAGCCTGTACTTGAATTGGTTTTTAATATCCTACATTTAGATTAATGCAACACCTGTAATTTATGGATATAAAATATTTATTAACAAACCAATAAACCCTTTATTTACATAAGGAGGAAGGACATATGTACTTGTCTATAACTTTACCTTAATACAATATTGTTATGAAATCAGCACTAATAGGCACTACACATCCCACATAGTTTTCTATGCTTAGCAATTAGCTTTTGATAGATAAGCGATAGTTTCACTTCCACATCCAGGTACTATGGATACAAGTTTTGTAAAACTTCAAAAAGAGAAAAAATAAAAAAAAAATTAGTAAAGGTTCTACTAAAAACAAATTTTTACAAAGTGCCATTTTGAAACTGTAAGAAACAATGACAATGTACAAAACAGTGTTTCATGAGCGCAGCCATCTTGCAAAGGGAAAATGACAATTAGGTTAAAACAGCTGACTAACAGTGATTTGCATCAAATATTTCTCCTGGTTTCTTTATGAATAAGGTTTCATAGAAGCACAAATTTATCCTAAAAAGTATACTATTAAGGACCAGAGGTTTGTTATGATGGAAATAAGGGCAAATATACAGTGAAGTCAAAAGGTTTTGTTAAAATTTAAAAAATTCACAAAGAAATCCCAAATATACATATCCTTCCATTGAAAAACAATTTGTTTTCCCCATAAGTATTCAAACAAGAGGCTCCTAAGAGCATGAATTACTAACCTGTCAAAAATTGAAATAATAAGCAAAACCTCAAAAGTTAGTAAAAATTGTCTTTCTATGCAATTACTACTGTAAGGGGTCAGCCCATGGTTTCTGTCATGTTTGCATTCTTACAGATTTTTTATATCCATAATTTTTAACAGTTTCTACCTATCTATAATATATTTTTCAAGATCAGAGGCAAATACTCAAAAGTTAGATAGTAACAAATTAAGGGCAATAACTCTTGTAAGGAGTCATCTGATATTTATCATCAGACTAGGTGATAATTTTTGCTGTTCACAGTGACTACTTATCTATTATAGTTTTTGAAATAGTAGGCAAAAACTTGTAAATTAGTCAAAATCATCATTGAAGGGCAATAACTCCTATAAGGAATCATCAAATAGGTCTGGACATATTGGCATTTTTTGAGATCTTGTATTGCTGATCATTTTAACGTTTTCAAAATAATATGCAAAAACTTGAAATAAGTCAAAAAACATCATTAAGGACAATAACTCCTATGAGTAATCTGATAGTTTTGGTGAAATACAGGAAATAGGTAGATATAGACATTCTGAGCATTTTTTTGCCATGGCAGATTTACTATATCTATTATAGTTTACAAGAAATAACACAATAAATGCATTTTACCTATCCCTTTGAACCAGGTGAGCTAAAAAAAAATATAATGCTGCTAATGAATAATTATGTAGAGGGTCTTTATATGATATGCAGACAAAATCAGTTGAACAGATTTTATATAGGTCATACATAGATTTTTATTATATAATACAGTTCAATGTCCTTAGTATAATGAGTAAAATGGTAATTCTGGTTCAATGTCCTAAGGGATAAAAGGATATTCAATGTTCTAAGAGTTAAATAAATATACTTATGAGAGAGATTTAATATCACAGAGAAGACTTCACAGAATATTTCCCATAAAGATTAGTCAAAGTCCAAAAAATTGGAACTGCCCAATGGTATCACTTGAAAGTTCAAATCTTCAGTATCAAATTAATTTGACTATTACGTATGTTCTTTACTAATATAAATATATATCAGTAGGACAGCCTGGCTTCCATTTGCCTATCAAGCACGTCCCTTGTAGCAGTTCCATATAAATATAGGTCAATGGGACAGTATGGCGTTCACCTGTCTCTGGAGCAGGTCCATTGCATATAATTATATGCCAGAATGACAGTATAGTATTCATTTCCATCAAGCACGACCCCTGTCATGTAAGTTTCATATAAATATATGCCAATAGGACGGTATGGCTTTGATTAATTGATCAGTCTAGTTTCAGGCATGTTATTAAAATATATCAACTGCATATTTAATGTTTTTCAAACAAATGAACTAAAATAAATGCTCAAACCTATTGGTTAACTGCCAGAGTCAAAAGATATGATAGATTCAACAGAATAAAATAGATTAAACCCCAACAGCATGTTGACCTATGAAGATAAGTTTAGTTTGCATTTTTCCGGGAAAAGTAGAACATATTATTTTTTTAATATTTTTCATCCAAGTTTGAGGGAATCCCCAATCGATATCGTGATACATACAACTTTCAAAACTTGTCCAAAAGGTTCACTTGAGTTTATACCAGTCATATGGCTTACCCTCATTAAGAAACGGCTCAAAGCAATATTTTTTTTTAAAATAAGTTGGTTAACAGTACTAAGTATGACTGAAAATTCAATATTACTATATGATTTGTTTGCTTCCTTTTTTAATTGAAGTAAATAAAAAAAATGTCTTACCTGTTGGAGAAATAAATGATGTCAAACAACTTCTTGTATTTACTTTTTCTTGGGAGATCTGCTACTGACATGACAGGTAAAAATGTTATCTTCACATCATCCAATGGCAAAGATTCTGGAAAAGTGAAAATATGCTCTAAAAATTCCCTTTAAATCCGAATGACACATTTAAGTAACTCAAGATAAAATTCAAACTGAACTGACCAATCACAAACCAAATCATTTAGTACTTATAATGTGAAAAATAAAAGATTTGTTGTATGTTTACCAATGAGGCAACCATCCCCCAAAGACAAAAGGAGAAGAATGAAAAACAACTACAGGTCACTGAAAACAGCCTTCAACAATTGGCAAAAAACATACTTTTATAGTAAGTTATCACAGGCCCAAGAATGACAAGATGTGAACAATTCAACAGAGAAATTTCAGCTATTACATTGTTAAATGAAAAACATTTATGGCCGACGGTAAATGACAATAACTGAATTACAGGCTTTGGACAGGCACATAAAGAATGTGGTGGGGTTAAACATTTGTTTAAATGTTTTGTGAAAGCTCAACCATCCCCAATACCTTGGACTGTAGTGTAACAACACAACATAAGAGCAAACTGTAATTATCAGTTGGAATGGGCTTGACTCATAAGATCATTACAATATATGGTATGGGTTCAGACTTTGTTGATGGCAATACCGTCACTTGTTAGTGTACAAATTTTTCCTCTGGCCTTAAATGGATAACTGTCTCATTGACAATCATACCACATCTCCTTATTTTAGGAATAAAACCATTAATTTATAGTAGCCCATTGCTTTCTATGTTAAATTCTGCAATTTCAAGCATTAATGGCTACTTTGGTCTTAAGTTCAAATAAAGTGGCAATCATTTCAAGTCAAAACTATACCTTATCCTGACTTGTGCTAAAAATTCAACATACCTTTAATTGCATATTTGAGCAAACTGGTTCCCAGAAGTTTGGTAGTACAAAAACAGGTACTTCTGATCTGAACAACAGGGCAAATGAGCCCTCCTTTAATAATTTCTCATATTTTTTTTGTTATTCATAAGAAACTTTCAACAAAGGTTCTACAGTGATCCCAATTCCTCAAGTTTTTATTGATACCAAAATTACCCAAATAGTTTATTTTTTGACAAAGTTACAGCTAAGCATAGGAACTATTTTGTTTAAAATATGTACATGTACTACTTTCTTGTATGTTCTTTTTGAAAGGGCCCAAAATAGTGGTTCTATACCTTAATAAATATAAACATCATAGTAGAGTTGTATTAAAATCAATCCAAAAACTTATCAGATGTAATTATAAACTAAGTCCGTAGCTCATTGTTCCAAGTTAAAGATTGAAACTTATTTATTTTGTAAATCACATTGTCATAAAAAAAAGGTTTAGTGTTCACCACTGTATCTTTAATTTTGTAAGTGCTTACTGTGGAAAAAAAAGGATTACATTTTTTAACCATATTTACATTCTAAATGCTTGAGGTTAATAGTTTCAATGTCATGAAAATATTACATTCATTATTAAAGTATGAATTACTACTGGTAAAAAGACATCCTTGGTAAAATCGAAACATCAAGTTACAGCCAAAAACATCATTGCTTCAACAAATATTGGATTGATTATCAAAAAAAATCAGAAATATTAAGTTCATTGAATAATAATTAATATCTTATCCAAAAATAAACTGTTGACACAGAGATATGTCTTGCCTATCAGCATAAAATTCGTAAAAAGACAATCTGATGGACAGCAACATTGCTTATCAATTCAGTCACTGGACCATGATCTAGTGGGCAGGGCCTGAAAATGATTGACAAACTGAGATGTACAGACAGTAATATAACTTTATACAAAATATCGTTGCTTATTGTAAGTAGTTCCTATCAATATAACTTAAGCAGAAAAACTTAACATTGAAAATTGCTAATTAATTCAACGTCATTGGACCATGTCCTAAGGTGCAGGGCCTCAAAAATACTCATCAAACTGGTATGTACTGATAGTAATGCAACTTTATACAAAATATTATTAATCTATCACAAGGTATTCTTATCAAACTGACTTAAGCAGAAAAACTTAACATTGAAAATTGCTAATTAATTCAGAGTCACTGGACCATGACCTAGGGGGCAGGGCCTCAAAATAGTCATCAAACTGATATGAACTGATAGTAATGCAACTTCATACAAAATATCAGTGATCTATCACAAGTAGATCCTATCAAACTAACTGAAGCAGAAAACTTCACAATGAAAATTGATAAGTAATTCAAAGTCACTGTACCATGTGACCTAGGGGGCAGGGCCTCAAAATAGTCATCAAACTGATATGAACTGATAGTAATGCAACTTCATACAAAATATCAGTGATCTATCACAAGTAGATCCTATCAAACTAACTGAAGCAGAAAACTTCACATTGAAAATTGCTAATTAATTCAAAGTCACTGGACCATGTCCCAGGGGGCATGGCCTCAAAATAGCTGTCAAACTGATATGTACTGATAGTAATGCATTTCATAAAAAATATCATTGATCTATCACAAGTAGACCCTATCAAACTAACTTAAGCAGAAAACTTAACATTGAAAATTGCTAATTAATTCAAAGTGACTGGTCAATGTCCAAGGGGGCAGGCTCTCAAAATAGTCATCAAACTGATATGTACTGATAGTAATGCAGCTTGATATTAAATATCAATGATCTATCACAAGTAGTTCCTATCAAACTAACTTAAGCAGAAAACTTAACAATTGTTGACGCAGTCGCCGGAGCCAGAAAAGCAATCCCTATGTCTCTCTTTCTGAGACTTTCGTCACAGGCGAGACAATAAGAATAACTTCTTGAGAATGTGTGTTCTAAATATCCTATGACCTTCAAAAGAAAGGAGTGGCCTTGGTGGCCTGGGTGGCCTCGGTGGTCTAAGAAATCTATTGTATCACTAGCCTGTCAACAATGAGGTTGTGAGTTTGAATCATGACGTGGCAGGTGCGCTCGACACCAATCCTAATTGACTAGGATTGTCAATTTACGAAGGTTGGTGGTTCTCTCCTGGCACTACGGCTTCCTCCACCAATAAAAACTGACCACCCTGAAATAGCACAATAGTGCTTAAAGAGACTTTAAACACCAATCAATCAAATGAGGGGCAATCTGGCCAATTTGGGATCCCTATCACTTAAAACTATACTTTATTACCAATAAGAACATAAATATTCTCAGATGAGCTTACTGACTGATCTAATTTTAGTAATATGATGCTATCGAAACAGTATTAAAGTAAGGAAATGAGACAAACTATCCACCTGAGACCAAAGAAGGTGGACGTAAGCAACTGTTCATTTTACTCCTTCTGTACAATGATTTTAGCCTACGCCAGAAGAAGCCTTTGTTTTGGTAAGTTTTTATATGGCTATTCTTAACTGCAGTTATTATTGCCATGATTACTAGCACAGTTCAGCACCACAAACTGGTCAAAACCAACTACTGTATATTGGGTCTTATTTTTAGCTTTTTTCGCCTCCGACATTTTATCATGAAATTCACCCTACACGAACATTTCACCTGTCATTTAATTGCATTGTTCGAGGCCATGAAATGTGAATAACTAACACAGCAAAGATTTAACTGCCCCATCTTTGGCCAAAACCATGAACAAATACAGATGCAAAATAACCCTATATACAATATTAATTGTGTTTTTCCAAAGCACTTTCTCCTTCAAAGGCTTTGATGTTTAGCTGACACATCAAAAGTCAAACAATGATTTTGCCATATAAACTGTTTACTGTTTTTTTTTCCAATTTGTACTCTCCTCTCACATGTTTGAAATTGCACTCACAATGGGTTATAAGTGTTATTATCAGTGCAAATAAGGTAACTTTCTAAGAGGATTTTTTCAATCCCATATGTTCACATAATCCACTGGATGACCTAGTGTTCCAAAGCCTTTAAATGGAAACAGTAACCATTCATACATAACAATGGTAATGCAGGTCCTGACATAGGTTAGAATTATTTTACACTTATTATGGCATTAAAGTGGCAACAGCTATTTGAACCTTTTAAGACATTTGATCAATGAATATTATATAAAGAGCACATTGCCATTTATGCACTAAACTACCAGTGAAGTTCATAAAACCCAAATATTTTGTTTCAGAGGTGTTGTGCATTGGTGGGAAGGGGTGCATTTCTCCATTGGCTATTTATATGAGTCCATAATTGGCCATTGAAAACCCTTTTCAATGATTTAATCAGGTTAAATCAGATTTATTTTTCAATACAAAAACTTTACAAAAGCTATCATAACATATCTACCCTTCAACAATTGAAAATACATGTATTGAGCTTTTTTTATATGACTATACGATATATAAAAAGGATAACAGGAATTTTTCAAAAATATTGGACCTTAAAAAAGACCACACCAACCACAAACACCCAATTCTTATTGAAAACAAAGGCCAGACATATAAAGAAAGACAAGCAACATGAACAAACACATAGTACAGACTACAGATAGCCCCACATTTCTTGGACAACAAAACTAAACACACGGTTTTCATTAAATTGAACAGTGTTATTTTTTTAATGAAAGTCGAAGCAAATCTGTGATGAGGCAAAATCCAAAAGTTCTAAAAAAAATTTTAGGTCTTCAGGTATCTTCTTAAGTTGGCTGTTGTGGGTTTGATACACATCCAAAAAAAACAAAGACTTAATAAAATCATATTTGTTGCTTCTCCACAGAGCATGCATCAATGAGGAATAAGACATAAGACTGGTTGGTTCTGAGTTAGAATAAAGTGTATAAGTAATGTGACATGTAATTCTGCTGACCTATGACCACATGCATACATTAATAATCAAACTGAGCATGCCTACAAATTAAAACTACAAAGAAGGGTATATATTCAATTGACATTAACATGATATAATCCTTAAGAAGCATTTAATATTTGCTGCTGAAAGTTAAAATACCAGCTAATCAATCCGTCATTTCAATTATCTATCAAACAAGGTGTACACAAATGTTAAGATGGATACACACCCAAATGCAACACTGTATTTGTCTTGTAAAGGGACATAAAAAAATCAGGTAAAAAAATGAAATAAACAATTACTTACCATATTCATCCTTAGCAGGATTAGATTGTGATGCAGTCTCTGTGCTGTCAGTTTTTTCTGTATTGTCTCCCTCATTTTCCTCTTCTTCAGTAATTTCTATGAAAACAAGAATGTGTCCATAGTACACGGATGCCCCATTCGTACTATCATTTTCTATGTTCAGTGGACCAAGAAATTTGGGTCAAAACTCAAATTTGGCATTAAAATTAAAAAGATCATATCATAGGGAACATGTATACTAAGTTTCAAGTTGATTGGACTTCAACTTCATCAAAAACTACCTTGACCAAAAACTGTAACCTGAAGCGGGACAGACGGACAGACCAGAAAACACAATGCCCCTTCTATTATCTAAGGTGGGGCATAAAAACAACATACAAATTGTCCTCTTTGTGTGTGTTTGCAATTAAACATTTTGAACAAATATCATAAAACTAGATGTGTTGGAATGACACGAATGGCCCCTCTTGCAAAAAAGCTTGAAGCTATTTTTAGGAGTAGAAATTTGAGAATGAAAGTCTGTAACTCGATCTGTAACTCATCATAGAAGACTCACATACTAAATAACAGCTCAATATGTGAAGGCGTTTAGAATAAAAAGTCTGTAGAACAGTTATTTTCACGTAAGTCCAAAGCCCGTAATTTCATCAAAAATAAGCGGAGCAGAACCAAACGTAAACTTGATCTGTAACTCATCATAGTAGACTCGCATACTAAAAATCAGCTCAAAATGTGAAGGCGTTTAGAAAAAAAGTCTGTATAACTGTTTGTTGCAGAATGAAGGAATGACAGAAAGACCACTTTGTGGAGGGGCCATAAAAACTTTTTATGCTTTTTTTCATAAAAAAGAAACCCCTAAATTGTACAACTATGACTGACTGATTGACATCAATTAACATAAACTTTCTATATTGCCTACTCTTTTAGCACAATTTAGTTAGAACAAGAATGTGTCCATAGTACACGGATGCCCCACTCGCACTATCATTCTCTATGTTCAGTAGACTGTGAAATTGGGGTCAAAACTCTAATTTGGCTTAAAAATTAGATAGATCATATCATAGGGAACATGTGTACTAAGTTTCAAGTTGATTGGACTTCAACTTCATCAAAAACTACCTCGACCAAAAACTTTAACCTGAAGCGGGACAGACGGACAGACGGACAAACGGACGGACGAACTGACGCACAGACAAAAAACATAACGCCCCTTTACTATCGTAGATGGGGCATAAAAATCTATGTTCTTCATATATTCATAAAATCCAAAATTCATTTTATTGAGGAAATGATAAGTTTTATACATTTTTTTATGTTGATGTTAGTTAAAAGTTTTGTGATTCATCAAAAGTTCAAGAAATTAAGTTTGACTTATTTCAAACGGAATAGCACATCCTAATTTTTACGGTGATGTGCTTTACCAAGCCCAGAAATTTAGATACCATCAGGGTTAACTTATCAATCCTTTAAATAAACTTATTCTAAAAGGTTACCAATTAAATACTGTAATTAGATCTTTGATTATTGTTTTTATTGGTATAAATATTGATTTTGTTATCAGTATATTAAAACCATACTAAATATTATTGTTATACACATAGGCACATTCAAGGTACTACAATATGTCGATAACTATATTTTGGAACTGCACAAGGTCATTTTTTTCTCTGTTTATGAAGTCTTTACACTAAATCCATTGGATGTTGGATGTGTACTGATTGATATTTAAGTCTTAGATACATTATTTTTTTATTAGTTGTCATTGGCTTTGAACTAGCTGTCATTAATTGTGAATACTCCCAGATCTGTACTTTGTGTCTTTGTGTCTGTTTGTTTTTTAGGGATGTATAAATACCCTGCCACGTCTGGTCTGTGTTTTTCTGCTTTGTATCGATCTGATGAGTAAAGCCCTTTTCAACTGATTTTTATAGTTTGTTCTTATGTTGTACTGTTACACCACTGTCCCAGGTTAGGGGAGGATTGGCACCTTCATTCATGTTTACCAAGCCAAATTCTATATGTGCCTGTCCCAAAGTCAGGAGCCTGTAGTCAGGGCCTAATCTAGGATTTTTGAGAGGGAGAAGTGACTTCTCCTTCCATGAGAGAGTTGGGAGAAGTGATCAATTTCATGGAGAAGTGAAATTCCATTACCGTTTCGTTTGCATAGTGTTTTCGTGTACATCATTAAGGGAAAATTGTTTTATTTATGCAATAATAAATATACTTGCAGTGTTTTATATGATATTGTATAAAATGTATGAATTGAAAATTCTTAATAAAAAGGTTTAGACAATGTAGTTGTTATTTATTCATTCGACCTTTTATGCTGTCAACTTGAAATTAAGTTTGTTGCTTGCCTAGTAATATTATCATGCATTAATCCCATGTGCATCTGCTTCGATAAGTCCAGAAAATATGGCTCCCAGTTTATGTGATGACTTTTTAATGACTGGGCAATTTAATGTTTATCATCACATGTCATAATTTTTAAAAAATATTGACTGTTCAGGATATCATGTCAGCTGTAAGTTGAGAATCTCGTGAAAGATTGCAAGCCTATATATAAATGAAAATATTTAGCAATCACATTTTAATAAGTCGATAAAGAGCTAATTTTTATCATTTTGTTATAAAAGATATCTCCCCAATTTATGAGCCCTAATTAACAAATTGGTCACAAGCTGGCCATTTGTTGTACGTTTGCAGTCATCTTATCCATTGGCTGTCTTTCTACCTTTTATATTTCAATTTTTGATCAAAGAATGTAAAAAATCTTCCGTTCATTCCCACCCTCGAACCAACCGAATAGTAAAATTGATCGTCTCGTAATAAATAAAAAGAAAACAAATCAGCTGAGTGATTACGCAACATCCTCGGATGAAAATCATCGTAAAATGATAACTCAAACAGACGGTCTGTTTCTCATTCCAATAGGTTTGAATGTTAAATCTATGGATGCTCAAAGTCGCTGTTGTATTTATTTCATTTAAACCTCGAAAGTATTAGTCCTGGGTCACTTCGAAAATTTCGATTTTCCTTGTCGCCGCCATTTTTGTTACCTGTGAATCTTGTAAAATTCAAGTTGTCTCCCTTTAATCGATTTTGATAGCGATTTGACTTCGCCATGAAGTCAGTCAGCCGGCGAGTTTTAGCGATTTTCAAAACTCCTTGGCGACTTAAATCATCATTTCGCCAGCAAGATTATGGCCTGCCTGTAGTTCAGTGGTTGTCGTTGGTTCACGTCTGTCATATTTGCTTTTCGTAATTTGTTTTGTTATAAATTAGGTCGTTAGTTTTCTCAATTGAATTGTTTCATATTTTTCATATTAGGGCCTTTTATAGCCAACTATACGGTATGGGTTTTCATCATTATTGAAGGCCGTAGGCTTGCCTATAATTGCTTACATTTACTTCATTTGAACTTTGGTGATTAGTTGTCTCATTGGCAATCATACCACGTTTCCTTGTTCTGACATTAATACAATTGTCTTCAACATCCATAAACTGTTTTAATTTTGTGGGGACTGATATGTTAACCACAAAATTTAAACATTTATCTAATAAATACCTCATATGAAATAATTTTAGTACTATGTGAAAAAAAATCCATGTTATTGATACTTAAGCCCTTAAAAATTTAGCAGTTTTTAACAAAGAAACAAAAAAATAAGATTATAGTAGGAAAGTATGTGCCATACCCTTGTGCATGTGTAGATATGTTAAAGTTCAGTATAAGTGTATGGCTGTTTTAGTTGAGTTTTAAGTGTAAGTGTATACCTTTTATATTTCATTTTAAGTCAAACTTAACATAGTTCAGTATAAATGTCTGCCTGATATAGTTCAGTATAAATGTCTACCTGTTCAATTTCAGTCTAAGTGTATGCCTCTTATAGTTAAGTGCTAGTGTTTAACTGTTGACATTCATTTTAAGTGAAACCTGCTACAGTTTAGTATAAATGTCTACCTGATATAGTTCACTTTTAACGTAAATCTTATATAATTTCCTGTTACATTTCAGAATAGTGAATGCCTGATATAACACACAGATTGATTGATTGTTGGTGTTTAACACCACTTTCAGCACTATTGGTTATATTTTGGCAGTCAGTTTTTATTGGTAGAGGAAGCTGGAGTACCCCGAAAGAACCACCTACTTTTGGCAAGAAAACTGGCAATCCTAGTCAATTAAGATTGGGGTCAAACGCACCTTCCATCTTCAAGTTTCAGAATCACACCATCAGTGTTGACAGGCTAGTGATACAGTAGTTGAACTACTTAGACCACTCAGCCACAGAGGCCCCTGATATAACTCAGTATTAGTGTATACCTGTTATTGTTCATTATAAGTACAAACCCGTTATAGTTGCTGTTTTATTTTCTTTTGTTTCTTCAGTTTGAGGTGGTACATATTTCTCTTTGTTCATTATCTCATGTAATAATGATAGAATATTGAACTCTGACACATGCCAGGACATCTGTAAAAAGTAATTATAATGTTATCAGATCTGAATGGAAATATAAGACTGAATGAGTGAATGAGTAAATTATTTTAACTTGTGTCAAAACTGTTGTTTTGTCATATGCCAGCTTAAGATTTTGGCCAGCATTTTTGTCCATTTTTTTTTATATTTTTGTGTTTCTTCCATTTTGCTGAAAGACATTTCATCATTATAAAACTATCATCATGATACTTAATTCTTTTACATTCTTTTTTGCCTCATATCTTTCCAATACTCTTTTTTTTCAATTCAAGTACCATACATCGTCTTGCCAATGATAGAAAAAAATCGGAGCAGTTTTTGTTTTTTTAAATCATTACTACAGCTGTTTAATGCATTAAATGAGAAATATATATACTGTGGATTCATTTAATTTGTGGGTACCAATTTTTGTGGATTAAAGAAAAATTGTATTTTCGTGGATAACTGATTTCATGGTTTTGCTCAAGTCTGCATACAAGCCTATAGAAAATTTGTACTTGGTTAAACATTTAAATTTGTACTTGGTTAAACATTTAAATTTGTACTTGGTTAAACATTTAAATTTGTGATTAACCTGTATCCTCCAAATCAACGATAATTGGTATCCCACAAATACTAATGAATCCACTTTAGTGAGGAATAAATTGAGAAAAGTAGTTGAGAAAACCCAACAGGATTAGCATAACTTTTTTAGGAACAAATTATGTAAACAATTTTTTTCTTCATACAAAATAACCCCTTTACTGCAATCATCCCAGTGAATAGAGTATCATAAAAATACAATTGTATGCAAAAATAACTATTGATGAAGACTGTTTGGTGACCTATAATTGCTAACTTCTCATCATTTGGTCTCTGGTGGAGAGTTGTCTCATTGGCAATGATACCACATCTTATGATTTTTATATCACATGGGAGATAATTCTAATTGATAGACTCACTTTTGCATACATATTATTATTCTTTTTAAACAATGTTTTATCCTCTGACTGTATACCAAATGGAATATATGGGCTAACTAACATATCACCCCAGTATCCTCGTTTGGCCAGCCTCTCTCCTTCCTGTAAAATATATCATAATCTTAGTAGTAACATATCAATATATCTAGAGATAATATAATTGTACTCTATACCAGTTTGCCTCTTGCAACTATCTGTTGTGCTTGTAAGACAAGAAATACAACCAAGCACCTCAACAGTATATATGTAAACACAAACACAAACATAATAGTATCATCAAAATTTCATTGCAGTTGAGACAAAAATGAAAATAAATTCCTACCATATATGACAGATACTATTCCTCATATTTTAGTGGCAACCCTCACATAATATTTCATCAAATTTACTTTACAAGAAATTAATAAACTGTTTAAAAAATGGTTCTTATATCTGATGACCTATAATTGGATATATCTACTTTTTTATAATCTGTAAAATTCAAAAAGTCTCTGTTTGTTGTATTCAAAATAGATGTCACTATTAAATTGTAATATATGAAGCACTATAAGTTTATTAATCTATTTGATGTTTCAAAATTTGCATTTAACAAATTAATAAAATTTTCTTTAGCTTGGTATTGAATTTCATGATTACAAGTCTTACGAGTCATAAAACCTCCCAGTATTGCAACATTCTGGCTCACTGCCAATAGTTTGAAGATCAATTCATCCAATCAGATATAAGACCATCAACTCCTCTCTGATCTCAATAGTGAAACAAGTTAGTGTAAAGACTCTGGTGTATATATTGTATTTGGTACATACATGTTTAACTAGAACACCAGATGCCAGGGTTCTGTTCGGTACATCATAATTTCCTTCTCTTGGTTCATAAGCTATACCATATTTCCTCCAATTCTTGTATTCTCGTGCGTGTATGATGTCACCCTACAATTCATTAATACTTGAATGTTAACATGTGTGACTAATACATAAAATAATAAACTGTTGACACAGAGATATGTCTCGCCTTTACGTAACTTTGATAGTATAATGCAAATGTTGAAACTGAAATGGCAAAACTTTAACAAGTAAACATTGCAAAACATTCAAAGTTTGCCTTTACATAATTTTGGAAGGCACTTCAATTATTTTTGTATGGGTGGGGCAGGTCATGAAGTTCAAATTGTGTGGTTATGTATGCAAAGTGCAATGCAATTGTATGGGTGCCTTCCAACCCCCCAACTCCCTCGTTTTGTTTTTTTCTTTTCTGGATAGCCCTTATCACAAACTATAATATGTAAACTATGGCAGTTTTAAAGTCAATAGACCATGACTGAGAGGGCAGGGCCAAATAATCTCCATGGAACTGAGATGTGCCAATGCTTATATCACTGCATAAAAAATATCATTGACTTATCATAAGTGGTTCCCCTTAAACTGACCTAATCACAAACTAATACATGTAAACTAAGCAAAAGTCTCAAAGTCAATAGACTATGACTGAGGGAGCAGGTCTGAATCAATATAGTAAAATATGAAACTCATTTGTTATTTTCAACCAATTCCATGATAATAAGTTTCTCACAAGCTGTGAATGTACGGTATTCATCATAAATGACAACAAAACAAATAATTTAGCCTTAAGTGTCATGAATCTTCTGTCATTTCATATTAAGTGTTCAACCCAAATAGCATTCTAAAAAAATATCAGGATCAGGTTCTGAAAAAAACAAACTTTAAATGCTTTTTTCTCTGTAACTACACATTATTTTACGATTTTTCCAAGTGAATATACTTTATATGAACCCACTGATGTATAATAGATAAATAGGTCCAAAGTGATTATTCAGTACAATTTTGAATAACTCATGGTAATTAGGGTCATGTAGCAGTTAAGGAGCAGGCAGTCATCTTCCCCAAAACATCTTTTCTACTGGGCACCTAAGTCCACCCCGAAGGAGTTTTTGTTGCTCAATCTTTAGTTTTGTGTGTATGTTTTGTTATTGTTGTCTGTGATTTCATAATTTTTTTTGTGGTGTTGTCTGTTTTTATTTGACCTATGCTTTGTGATTGCCCCTTTATATCTTCTCCCTCTTTTAACTGAAACAACATTTTTAGTTCTTTATTCCAAAGATTCTGTTATTGCAAATTCCCAAGATCAATATATAAATAACACATAGCTGAGAGGGTGATAGAGCAGATTGTTACCCCGAGAAAACATTGTCAACCGCGGCGGAGCCAAGGTTGACAATGCTTTTTCGAGGGCTATCAATCTGCTCTATCACCCTCTCAGCTATGTGTTATTTAATTCATTATACTGAATGTCCTATCATTATTGTCTTTTTCAGATGAATTTTATTTAAAAGTATTTTCTATGACGTCACGTACATAACAAAGTTATAGGTATAAGAAAAATCAACAGAAGTGAAGCAAGATGTTTTATTTTTTTATTTTGACCGTCAAATAATAGAATCTGAGCCAAAACGTAGAACTTAAGCATTGTATTTAATTACTTGATGTAAATTCAATTCATTGTCCTTTAAATTATCGATTTTTGATTGGTCTGGACGAGGTGACATTCAAAAAAATTGTCACCCGCTCAGCCATGTGATAGAGGAAATTAACACCCTCGTATTAGCTAATCAAAATATGGCATTTTAACGTGAAGTATAATAATACATAATATTAAACTCTCTTTCTCCTAACCTCATGTGATAGTCCTAGCGAAATACATTATCTCTGGTGTCATATCGTACTCCTAGATTTCTTTGTAATCGTAAGTCCTTGAAAAATGTCATTATTTACCTCACTTTCTACTAATCTCATGTGATAGTCCCAGTCAAATACATTATCTCTGGTGTCATATCCTACTCCTAGATCTCTTTGTAATCGTAAGTCCCTGAAAAATGTCATTATTTACCTCTCTTTCTACTAATCTCATGTGATAGTCCCAGTCAAATACATTATCTCTGGTGTCATATCGTACTCCTAGATCTCTTTGTAATCGTAAGTCCCTGTAAAATATCATTATTTACAATTTAACACTTAACTTATATCCCTCTGATTTGTACTGAAATAATGCTACCTATTTTACAGAGGACAAGAAATTAACACAATAAGAATAAAAAAAAAAAATGTGTTTGAGGACACGAATGCCCCCGCTCAAGCTTGCTTATGATATGTGAAAATACTATTGGGATGGAAGCACGGACAGACAGACGAACGGATGGTCAAAGGTAAGACTTAATGCCCCCTTCGCCTAGCAGCTGGGGCATAAAAATCTATAGGTCATTCTCTTTAATAATATAAGCATTTTGTATAAGAAATTCTGGCTTAATCCACAATAACATGCAAAATGCACCATACAAATATACTTGCTAGTAATTGTTTTCCTGCAGACCAGGAAACAGTTCCCTAATATTTCAGAGTAAGCATATGATCTCTAGAAAGACCATTGAAAAATAAGAAGAGAGGCTGAAACTCCAGTATCCTTTTCAAAGAGTAAAAGTAATATTTACAAAAATACATCTACTGTTTTAAACATATTCATTAGTTGTGTATCTACTATTTTAAACTTTTTCATATTAAAGATCTAGAAATAGAATTATAGAACACATTGTAAATGCTTTGTTTGCTTCTGTAGTCTGATCAATATCCCTTGTCAAAAGTTAACAATACAATATATAAATATACAAAGTTGATTTGAGTTTAACTTACCACATTTTTTCTACATCAAAAAACTTTGGATCAGGATTTCTCCAAAATTTAAATATTCCTTCCATGAAATCTCTTTCTTTAAACTGAAAATAAGCAAACTATGTCATGTTATAAATAATTGATGTTTACAAAAATAAAAAAAATGTTTAGATATAAAAGAAATTAATGATATAAACCAAATCCAAGTCAACCCCTGTGGTTGGCATACTTTTTATTTTGTAATTAAGAGCAAAAGTAAAGAATGTTCTAACTCTTAAATGAACTGTATTCACATTACCTTAAGTTGTGATAAATCTATACATGGTAATGTTTTCTCTAAATAATCAAAATCTGTAACCATCCTGTCAAAATAAAAGCAAAGATCTATGACCAAAATTACCTCCCTTGTTTACAAAAATTGCTATATGAACACATTAGACAATGTTACTTTTATGAGAATCGAAGGTCATAATTTTAATATCCTTATCAGTTCAAACCAAACATTGAACTTGATATTTGCAGCTTCTCTGTTTAAATAGGTACACTTTTTTTACAAGTGAAAACAGAGATTGGTCAGTTTCGTGTATCATTGTGGTGTCGAAGTTGGATGAAAAATCTGTCTGCACGCTATAATCTTGTCATGAGTCTAGTACAAGGAAAGGTTCATATTCTTTTCACGTTCAAGTCTTTTTCTGGTTATAAACTATCTACTGTTATTTAATACAAGTGTGTTTTATAGTATTTTCTTCTTTTTTGTTAGTATGTTTGTCTGGTTTTTACTGCATTTTTGGACTTTTTTGCTTGTTAATTCTTTACATGAATATATGACAGTGAAATTAACACAATGTTTACATAGAATACAAAACTAGTTTCTTAAACATGGTCTTTCTAAGTGTCAACCAAAGAAGGAAATTCTAACAGATCAATCACATTCAAGTATGTGTAGATATGCAAATCATATCAGAATTATAGATATGTAATGATTCCTCTTTTATGACCTGAAATACTGGATACATGTATTTCTCAAAGTAGATTTTTTTTTCTCACAAGAACAATTGGGAAATCATCTACATACTTTATTAATTCATTTGACATCTTCTGTACGTATTCCATGGATTGCTGTCTAACAAGTAAATTTCCATATAGTTCTAAAAATAGTTCTGCTTTCTCTACAATGGAAAATTTATCTCATTTATAAATGTAACTTTACTATGGTCAATTTGTTTAAAATTATGCACTGTTCAAAATATTGCAATGTAAAATTAATATAGAACAGCAGCAGGTATGACTGTAAGAATGCATGATTTCTTGGTCAGCAAATAAAGTATTCTGAACTTGCTTTTAGCAACTATGAGCATTCTTTAACAGATATTAAAGTATTGATTTTAATAAAGCTGTGCAACTTTTGTTGCCCTCTTTATCAATATTATAAAGCACTTATTCTAAACTTATTTCAAATGTGCCTTTTCTCTATTCCACTGATCAAGATAACAGGGTGGGTTGAGAAGTCACAAAACTTGTTTAGCACCACCAAATCTGATGCAAGGAACCCATGACGGTGCTTGTCATTTACTACTGTGGATTCATATTATTTGTGGGATACCAAATGTCGTGGATTTTCTGGGTGAACCAAGAATAAAAGTGATCAACAAGGTACAAAATTTCAAAGTACAAAATCAAATATCCACGAAAATCTTTTTTTTTCCTTATTCCAAAATAATTAGTACCCACGAAAATAAATGAATCCACATTTGTTTTTTTCAAGTTCATTTGTGAAATTTGTGTTCAAATGTAAAGACATGAACAATTCAAATATGCCCTTTACTATATGGCTGCTTGTCGTCTATAACTAAAAATTTCATAAAGACCTCTAGATAATCTCTTAGTTTGTATAGCCCTACTGTTGTTTTACTGATGTTACATGTATCTCCTTATATTTGTACCAAATCAAAAACATCAGCAGAGATGACAATTCACAAACTTTTACCATATAATAAATCCTTTTTCAACTGTTTACACACTCATTTTCATCCCACTGCTACCTTTTACGCCTTACACCAGATCACACACAATATTGTACATTCTTATAAACTGTTATGATTCAAGCTTTTAATTTAGAGTTGTTTTTGAATAATAAGGTCTTTTCCATCAATCATTAACCAATGCCAATGTCATGAAAGGTCTCCACTAGTTAGAAAGTTGTACAATTGCTTTATAAAATAATTTTGGGAAAACCAGTGGTTGGAAGAGGTTCATTTTCTTGACCCCTAGTTACCACACTGGTAGTTTCATCTGAAGAGCCAAGTGCCAAAAGGAAGTGATACTTTTTTTTTACATCAAATATCTATGAGATAAGTCATTTAGCAATAGATATCATGAAATTAAGCAATACTGTAATTGTTATGAATATGTGTCAAGCTATGGTGTTCTTAATAAGCCAAACAGGCAAGTGGGGAATATAGCAACATCTCATATTATCAGAATGCACAAAAAATGAATGATTCTCAAAGCAAATAAGCATGGCACATATTTTCATATTTTTGGCATGCCATGTCAATATCTTACCTTGTAAACCCATTCTGTTTGGTAATTCCAGAAATAGTGACATGAACAATAAGTCTCTACAGTAAAGTTCACATTGTGTTTCAATGATGTAGAACTAAAATATAGATAAAAAAACTATTCTGTATATTTTAATTAAATGTAGAGGACAAGAAACTACAAGTCACATCTAACTAGACAATGTTTATTATTGGTCAGAAGTCTTTTCAAGATATTGGTATGTGAATTGAATGATGTGCAAAAAACAATCTGGAATTTTTACCCTTTCCTCTGTCAGCTATAGAGTAAAAGGTTTCCATGATCCTGATTTTATATCTTATATTCACACTTTTCTATAATATAATCACTACATTACTGACAAAAATTCTAATTAAATAAATTTTAAAATTTTTATATCCAAGTGTCATTATAGCAATATGGAGACCTGGGTTAGTGGAAATAACTCTTCAACTAAATTATGTGTTTGTTTTAGTCAGTTTTATCAATGGTTTTTAACATTCATGTGAAACAGAATTAAAATGATCAGTGTTTCTTTAAAGTCTAGAAGATATATTTGTGAAAATAGTTAACACTAATGTTTCAGTAAGTTTCAAGAGTTAAGTCCCTATAGACGGTCAACCTCCTGAAAGAAAAAGTAACTTTATTTTGTCTAACTGCCTTTAATTAACAATAACTGACAGAACCTTACATGTAATTTTCGTTTCTTGTGTCTATATGATCTGGCGATGGTTTGTAGAATATGTCTGATATCACCTGCTCCAACCAAAAGTATATTTAACGTGTCTATAAAAATATAAAATTATAACTACAATAATAATTGCATGAAAATGAAAATGAATCTTGTAAATGTAAAAATTAAAGATTCCCATATTTTATTGCAATGCATATAAAACATAAAACATTCATATCAATAAACAATATTGTATCGACAGTGTTAATAAAAAATTGACCAAATCATTACTTTTAGATAAAATTCGTAAGGGTTCCGCGGAACCCAGTGTCTCGCCTACTTTTTCTGTTAATCGCAGGCTCAACAAAAATGAGGAAGTAAATCAATAAAAATATTCCTCTTGATACTGTCTTTTGATTGTAAGAAGCTTCTGTCCAAGTTTGGTAAAAATCCAGGATAGTTTATGAATCTAATAAATGTTTAAAAACTTTAACTGCAGACTGAATGTAATGTTAACTGGAAGAAAACAAAATTTCCTTCTGGATACTACCATTTGATCATAAACAAGCTTCTGTCCAAGTTTGGTACAAATCCAAAATAGTATAAGAAAGTTATTAAAATTTTAAAAACTTTAACCACAGAGTGAATGTGTTGTTTCCTGGCAGAAAATCTAAGTCCATTTAAAAGTAAAATACGGAAAAAATGGATTTATTTTTTTACAAAATGTCCTTCTAGATACTAGCTTTTGATCATAAACAAGCTTCTGTCCAAGTTTGGTACAAATCCAGGATAGTTTAAGAAAGTTATTAAAATTTTAAAAACTTTAACCACAGAGTGAATGTGTTTTTTCCTGACAGAAAATCTAAGTCCATTTAAAAGTAAAATAAGGAAAAAATGGATTTATTTTTTTACAAAATTTACTTCTGGATACTATCTTATGATCATAAACAAGCTTCTGTCCAAGTTTGGTACAAACCCAGGATAGTTTAAGAAAGTTATTAAAATTTTAAAAACTTTAACCACAGAGTGAATGTATTATTTCCCGGCAGAAAAACTAAGTCCATTTATAAGTAAAATACGGAAAAAATGGAATTTTATTTTTACAAAATTTACTTCTGGATACTTTTTTTATGATCATAAACAAGCTTCTATCCAAGTTTGGTAGAAATCCAGGATAGTTTAAGAAAGTTATTAAAATTTCAAAAACTTTAACCACAGAGTGAATATTTGTGGACGCCGCCGACGTAGGATCGCTATGTCTCGCTTTTTCGACTAAAGTCGAAGGCTCGACAAAAATGGAGTTATTTAGCAAAATTGGTGGTTTTAAGATTCTTTGACAAAAAAAGACTAGTGAAGAAAAGAGAAATGCATTTTAACTAATCTGGGGATCATGAGTAGACTGTTTAAAGTTTATATGTGCATAATTGCGCAAATAATATAAGCACTAATAATTGCTATTCCATCAAAATTACAAATATGTTTTACCTTTTGTTTCATCTGTATCAAGTTTCAAATTGTTCAGTGCTGAGATAGTATCTGTAAATTATATAAAGAATTAATTTACTGTTGACACTGACATGACTGAATATTTTAAGAATGTTTGTAATTTCAATAGTAAACTATAAATCGGGAAATTTTGGTTTAAGGATATTTTGGCAGTTTTGCCAAAACAGTAGTGTGTAAAATTTTGGCTCTTTCCTGTGCTTTATCTTATTTTTATGTTGGCATAATGGATTTCATTGTTAGTCACTTAAAGGGGACCAAAAAATATGTATTTTACATATTGCTTATTCAACTGAATTATAGGACAAAATACCAAACATTGCCAAAGCAGCAAAGACAAAAAACATTACGATAATAAGTAGAAAAAATAAATTTCATAAGACTAATTTTTCTCCTTTAATAATATTTAATTATATATGGGCAATTTTTTTTAATTATTGCTCAGAATGTTTCAATTATGGTTAGTGGAAATTTAACATTAAATTGATGTATGTTTATCTTTTGTGTGTTTAATTTTGGCACTTTCGTCTTGGGTCCCAAAGAAACCAAAATAAGACTACAGTGGACAAGTAGCTCAGGAAATTTTACCTTCTCTCAACTGGTATTTTTCGCAAATAACACTTCTGAATATGACATAACTGTTTAATTACACCTATCAGCAATAAGGGATGCTTAACTTAATCATTAATTTCATTTTTCTTTCCCTTTAGCAAAACAGATGGATTTAATACTAAAGAGCACAAATAATCAAGAGTCTCAATGAAGGGTAAAATAAACTGTTATACACATATGCACAATGTACATTCATGGTTCTACAATCTGAAGATACATGTACCTATATTTAGACATTGCACAAGGTCATGTTTTTTTCCGACAGTTATGCCTTTACACTAAATCCATTGGATGTTGGATGTGTACTGATTGATGTTTAAGTCTTAAATACACGATTTTTTAATTAGTTGTTGTTTGCTTTGAACTAGCTTTCAGTAACTTTTAGTACTCAGAGATTTGTACTTAGGGATTTTGTTAGTTATTTTAGTGATTTGAATCAATCTGAAGAGTTAAGCCCTTTTCAACTGATTTTTATAGTTTGTTCTTAAGTTGTGCTGTTACACCAGTGTTCAAGGTAAGGTCATGGTTGGGTGCCCACAAAACATGTTTGACCCCTCCAAACTCTTGTATGTGCCTCCCATGTCAGGAGCCTGTAATGGAGTGGTTGTCGTTTATTGCTGTTTATCATTGAATTATTTTACTGTGTTACTTTTGTCATTTCAGGGCCTTTTATAGTTTGCTATGCAGTATGGGTTTGCTCATTGATGAAGGCTGTATTGTGATCTATAGATGCTTATATAGCTTGCTATGCAGTTTGGGTTAGCTCATTGATGAAGACTGTATGGTGATTTATAGTTTCTTACTTCTGTGTCATTTGGTTTCTGGTGGAGAGTTGTGTGATTGACAAGGGGCGAACGTGTGGGGTGCGAAAGTGTATTAGGCACGAACGGACCCAATACCACATTTTTTTGTGATTGATGAATGGATATACAAAGATATATAGATTTGATGAAGGATTCCTAGAACTTGAAAAAAGAAGAAAATGATTGAGGTAAGGTTCCTTTTCCTGCAGTAGTAATTTTCAGGGCATTTACGAACATTCTATTTAGATCACACACTATTTTTGGGTGCAGGTCGTTTCGTAACCTGGTCGTTTCGTAACTAGTCGATTCGTAACTTAACTAGGTCGTTTCGTACCTGAGACGTTTTGTAACCTTATATCAATATATAATAACAATAAGAGTAGTAGGCTACGCAAAAAGTAATAAAAAGACTTAGTGATGTATGTGTATATATATATATCTATATTTATTTATTAAATACTTTATTGCACATAAATTTACACTTTACAAGTACAGTTTTGCACACATGCGAATAGAACAGAAGAATTTGAATTGTCCATCATCATTTAGATGTACCCCGTCTTTATCAAAGTATTTAGTCTTCTGCCACGTGTTTTGATGTCTCCAATACTTGACACCACCCATCTTTATGTTGCTTAGTTCTTTATTTATCTTCTTTTTTTTCTATCATAAGTTGTTTCTTTCATGTTTCTTGTTTTTAGTCTGATGATGTTGGAGCCTATAACTACAGAAGGAACATCTAAGCGCTTGACATCTTTTGCGAGTTGTACAATCTCTGATGCTGTGTGTGATGCAGATAATTTATCACAGATGTCATTCTCTCCAATCTGTATGAAAACAAAGTCGGGTTTAAATTTCTTCACTATGTGGAGATCAAAATGTCTCAATGACTGTACTTTTCTCCCGCCTACCCTGTGAAGCTTTGTTTTGACAGAACTTGATAAGTCGGATTGCGTTCTTAACATCCAATTTTCCAGTCTTCGGATGAAACTGTGACCTATCACAAGTACTTTGGGCTTATTTGCTGTTAGTGACATATTTGGCGTTTATAGATGAATGAAAAAGGAGTAAAAAAACTGCTATTATACCATTAAGTGAACACTTGTCACTTACATTTATTTAATTTAACCACACCTAGTAATTTATCAATTTAATTCAAATTAAATTTATTCAAAATATTTCACTACTGATTGCTTTTTGTGTAGTTATTAAACATATATCAGAAAGATTGATTGCCATTATAACTGTAAATTAATTTTTATTAATTAAATTCTTAAACTTTAGATTAATTAAATGGCTTACGTTGTGCAAGTGGTAATTGCAAGCAGTAAAAGTTATGATCACATAGCTTGAATGTTAAAACAACAATTAATTTCTCTTAGAGTAAGATAAAGTGTTTAAAAAAAAAAAAAAAAACTGTAACTCCGCCAACGCCGGTCCCCAGCCCGGGTGAAAAAGGAGGAGGGTTATGCAATTGCATGTAAAAGTGAAAAAAAAGGAGAAAATAATTATTTTTTTCAGGTCGTGTGCCATAGGTCGTGTGCCATTAATCTACTTAATCACTTTACACCTACTGTAATTACTTTTTATTACCTGTCATTAGTTGTCATAAAACCATTAAAGCTGTCACCGAGTGTAATTACCAATTAGCCAATTAGCCAATAATTAAAAAGATTTCAGAAAATTTTAAATTAAAAATATTACGATATTGTTATTATTAGATGAACAATTTGATTATTTTTTAATAATAACTTTAACTTTTTCATTTAAACTAATTAATTTAAACTAACACTTTATAACCATATATAATTACAAAAGTTACGAAACGTCTCAGTTACAAAACAAGGTAGTTACGAATCGACCAGGTACGAAACGACCAGGTTACGAAACGACGTGCATTCCTATTTTTAATCAAATTGCTGAAAATATCAAATGTTATCCACCTGTATCTTGCAAATCTAGAGCCGGGGTGAATCCCCACCAGGTGATTGTCCCGAACTGATCCGTCATTGTCTTATAATTCTATGGAAAGGCATGAAATCATTATCTTTTTCTATGACATGTTAAATCTTGCCGCCTCGTGTCCTCCATTTGTAAACAAACTAGTTTCGCAGTAAATAAACAAATATTATTTTGATAAATATCCCAATATTTTATGCATTTTTTTCTAGTTTCTTACCTTGTTGAAAATTTATTCTCCTTTAAACGAAATTCAAATTGTTCATAATGATATTGTTAAATAATTTCTAGCCTCTAGGTGCGGTCCTTCAATGTGTCTGCGCCCAGTGAAAGTTCGAGTAGAATGTCAACACAACTGAAAATGTAAATATTTCTGTGGGTGTTGGTTTAAAATGCTGTTTGGAAAGATTTTATTTTAACCCACCCTTTTCCTCTCTTTTGACGGAATAAGCATAGATTTTCGTGGAGGGGTTTTAAAGGAATCCGGGTCCGTTCGCCCTGTTTCGCGTTCGACCCATAGGCATAGGCATAGCCGTAGTGACTTGACTACAATATAGCCCGTTAATCTCTACGTGCAAAAACGTATGCCCTACAGATGTTGGATAGTAGGGGCTCCCTTTTTTTTTAAATGCAGGTAGACGATTAACAGGCTATATACATATATCTGACCTGTAGTCAAGTCCCTATGGTTCGCCCTAGTACCTGTTCGCCATGATTCAAGTTCGCCCTAGTATCTGTTCACCCTGATTCTTATTTCATTTTATTATCTTGTAATATGAGCTGTACGTGTTACCTGTGGAAGGGGAAAGAGTCAGCAAACCTTTGAAATACTTTACTATTATCAGTAGATTTATATATATATATATACATTTATTGTAAAAAACGTCCCAGCATAATTTCTGATGAAAAAGTAACGAAGTAAGGGAAACAAAGATTTATCCAAAATTGGTCCTATTGTAAGGAATTTTATATATGATGTCATTTTCAATGTAAATAAAGAAACTCTATCTTAAGGTAGCGTTTTTCCTTCTCATTTAAAAAAAAATTAAAGTATAGTTTTAATAATTAAAAACATAATAATGTATACCTTAAAACAACGAATATGCAAAGTCATCTTATTACTGATCTTTGTACACACAAAAATCTGCCTGAATGATCTGATGGGAATTTCCCTAGAGACTCCATTTTGTTTCCTGTAAAATTGTATGTCGAATAAGCTCTATAGACTCATTTTATTACGTACTCAAACAGAACAAATTCAAAATGTTTGTCTTCATTATTCTTTTTGGTAATAAGTTATACACATTTGCGTGAAATCGTATGTCACTTACAACATGACAGAGTCCGTCAACAGAAGAGGAACAGGGTAATGCGCAAGCTCAAATGTTTGAAAAAAGTTTAAAAAAAGTTAAAGATTTTGGGTTCATTAGTATATTGATTTTTCGTTTAATAGATTTTCTTACTATTATTGGGGACTTCATCCCCATATCATGCTATATTATAGTATTGAAATAGAGTATGGAACAAAGTGTGAGTTGAAAATTTCGTAAAATATTTATGTTGTATTGCTGCTACCAGATAATTATTTTCCTTTGATTTGCACTGAACTGAACAGGAATGCAAGGTATTCAAAGGTATTCAAAACAACAGAAGACCAAGATATCTGGGGTTTTTTCGTCTTCTTTCCTTCTTTTTACATGTTTTACCAAGTTATCTGTATGTATATAGTTGTGTAGAAATAATTGATTCCACAATCCTCTTTCATATATATCAAATTTGTCCCTGAAAACACACTTGATATCAAAGCAGCCAAGCTGCTAAAATAAATTCCCTTACAATATGTACATGCTTTATTCTTTCCTTCTTTTTACATGTTTTACCAAGTTATCTGTATGTATATAGTTGTGTAGAAATAATTGATTCCACAATCCTCTTCCATATATTTAAATTTGTCCCTGAAAACACACTTGAGATCAAAGCAGCCAAGCTGCTAAAATAAATTCCCTTACAATATGTACATGCTTTATTTTTACTCATTCCAAGCTAACTAGTTTACACCATCAAAGACAATTCAACAATCAGTGAGATCATAGACATCATAATTATACCTCATTATCATTACAATCAACAGTCATTGAAATTAATTCTAAATAAAAACAAATGTACAATGTAACAATTAAGCCAATCATTGCTAAAAAACAAGCAATTAACTTGATGACATTTCCTTGTTTTCTTCCCTAATTTTAAGATAAAATAAAAATATTGGCATAGGTATTTAAAAACCTAAATACCATTAATATTGATATTAGGGCAAACGAACCCAGAGCAAACAGACTCTATGGGCGAACTAACCGAGGGTGAACTGACCCAGGGCGAACATGTAATTAGGACAAACAGACCTGGTACCGTTTAAAAGGAAGTCTTGTCCATATTTTAGACAGTTTCACATAAACCTGTTAAAGACAACTTTCGAATTGTGCACTTTCATATAAATTTCCTATGTCTGTCACAATCATGACAATGCTTATGTTAATACATCTGAATAACATCCGAATTTTTCGTTGACGTTGTTTATGCCGATCGACTCAGGGTCAATTGGTGTAACTCCTTCATCAAAAACAATTCAAGATTGATGTATTCATTTGCAACTACTTATATTTATGTATTGTATATCCCTCTTATCTAGGACAACCACCATCAGATATTTTTTTTAAAGGACACATTTAACACACAGCATTGATACAGATAAATGTGACCATTTGCCTACTTTGACAAGATTGGTCTTACAACAGTTTGGTTAACCTTCCTCAAAACAGCAATACTTACAATGTGATCAAAATCAGATTTTTCATTTTTCTCCCTTATAGATCTGTTTGTTGTGTCTGTAAATTCTGATAACAGTCAAGAAGGGGTAATATTAGGATGTATGTAAATTTTTAATCGGCCAATGGTTTCAAATTACATGCTGGCACTGTGATTCCAATTCCCCCACCACCACCACCACCACCACAACATATGTTAATGCAATTAAGATTGGCTTTATGTTAATGATTGATATTGTTTCATGGACTTATTTTACGATTTTAAAATTTATAACATAAATAAAACATTACTGTTGTGCTACGTTTAGGAATGCTTACAATCAGATGGGTGCATAATTTGAAACTACTTTAATTTTGTATTTTAAAGTTCAGATTTTTCATAATCAAAAGATAAATAGACCTAAATTTAAAAGTCACATGCCTAAAATCATGAAAATGACATAAAATTATAATGTATAGTGGCAAGAAATTGAAGCCAGCTAGAATTTTGTCTGCTTAATTTCGATATTTTATTTACTTTAGATTTGTAGCTGGTGATGTTGAAGGAAATTTTGATCAGCTATTCTCCAGGATAAAAAATATACAGAAGAAGAGTGGAAACTTTGATGTTAATATATGTAACATGTGTCTAAAATTGAAAGATCATGTTTTTATTTATATCAGTAAAACAACAACAAAACACAAGCTTTAAGCTTTTGTCAAATATAACAAACATTTAAAACTATATTGCACATGCAAACAAAATATAAAAAAATACCTGAAATCATTAAGTACAAATGTAGCTGCAAGACTAAAATTTGAAGGTTAGAAATATACATGATATGTATAAATATGTTGCTGTGTAACATATTTGTTTTTCGTTCATTATTTTGTACATAAATTATGCTGTTAGTTTTCTTGTTTGAATTGTTTAACATTTGTCATTTTTGAGCCATTTATAGCGGTATGGGCTTTGCTCATTGTTGAAAGCCATACGGTAACCTATAGTTGTTAATTTCTGTGTCATTTGGTCTCTTGTGGAGAGTTGTCTCATTGGCAATCATACCACATCTTCTTATTTTTATGATATGTATATTTTGCACTACATGAATTAAACTGAATGACTAAAACTTATTGACTTACACTAAGTTTAGTGTTCAAGAATCAGATACTAACTGATCTACATCCAATAGATTGGGAGGAAAATTGATTGTTGCTTGCTTAACGTCCAGTGGCAAATATTTAATTTATATTCAGAACAAGAACAAATAAACAAATAGGTAGGATCTGTGAGGTAGGTCAACCATAATGAAGAAATTTGGACTTCCATTGGATAATGAGGTTATTTTGGTTAGGGATCTGCCTTGCTACAGGCCATCTACAGACCCCTATGACAGTTATTGTAAGGGTTCTTTAACATGTAGATAATGTGGCACTCTTCCTACAGGAAACTCGATAGGTTTTTTAATTACAGCCAGCTAATTCAGAATTATATGAACTTTGTGGTAATAGATTACCAGCATGTTTTATTTATGTTTATAAGCCTTTTAACCTAGCATTTTTATGCCACCGCCATAGGGGAGGGGGGCTTTAAGGTTTACGCTTGTCCGTCCATCCATACGTCCTGTAATTGGTTTCCGTTCTCTAACTTAAGTTTCCATTGACCAAATGACATGAAACTTATACACAAAGCTTATTACCACAAAAACACAGATCAAGTTCGAATTTGGGTGGCGTCGCTTTTACCGTTCTTGAGTTATGCCCCTTTATAGATGGAAAAATTGCTGAATTTATCGTTTCCGTTCTCTAACTTTAGTTTGCCTCAACCAAATGTTATGAAACTTATACACTATGCTTATTACCCAAAAAACCCAGATCAAGTAGAAATTTGGGTAGCGCCACTTTTACAGTTCTCTAGTTATGTCTCTTTATAACGTTATATCCAAGAGGGGGCATCATCTGTGTCCAATGGACACATTCTTCATTTATTTATTAAATAGCTTACCAGATTAAGTGTTGAACTGTTTTTCTGTTTTCTGAAGTTTTGATATTCAAAATGTCATTAAAACAGTAACCAAAACAAAATGCATGTTTTATTTATGTTTTTCAATTTTAGAATGTAAAGGATGTTTTTTTACTTGACAAGAAATTTTGTATTTCAGCTTCTTTTATGCATAGGTGACTTCTTTGGTACAAATTTTATGGCATGGGAAAATTACGTCAAAGGAGAGAAGAAAGGTATATTGAGGATATTTATATATATTTAAATACAAAATGTATTATACACATTAACAATAGACAAAAATATTAATAACGATTCCTGAAAATTCTACCGGCATCCTTATACGTGATGTGCAA